TATGTTTTAGGTTACTATCCCTTTTTTTTGGCCGATTATATCTATAGCTATTATTTTAGATGATTTAGTTTGTGAATATATTCTTTTGTATTTGCAAGTATAAAGTTCAAACATATTTAGCTTTTTTGAATATGAAGGATTATTGTTGTATGTAGGCATGGACAAATGGTCGGATGCATGCACCATTTCATAGAGTGATGGTGAGAGGAAACGAAGCAAGGTATTCAATTGGTTTGTTTTCAATACCTAAGGCTGGATGCATAATAAAGACACCGAAAGAGTTGGTAGATGAAGATCATCCTTTACTCTTTACGCCCTTTGATTATCATGAATTCCTTTCTTTCGGCTACACTCAAGAAGACATGAAATGTGATTTTACTTTGAAGGCCTATTCTGGAGTCTGAATTTAATTAACTTGATTATATTTACTAGTAGACTAAATAAATATGCTCCTTGTGAGTATATGCTTGTGTTTTATGTTCTAGCTAGCCTGAGAAATGATCCTAGTTACAGAGGCGTATCTAGAGGGGGTGCCGTGGGTTCACGTGAACCCATGCTCCCCTCTCTAGATCATATATAGTAGTGTTATATTTTTAAAAAAATATTTAAATATAGATGTGTGAACCCATGTTCAAAGTATCATATAAAAATGCGATGATGATTGGGTGCACTTCTCTAAGTGAGAGATAGAAATTTAAATCTTATATCTATCTTGTCTCTTTGAGTAACACTTTTCCAAGTGGTTATCAGTTATACTTTTGTCGTTTCAACTAATTTTTCTTTTGTTTTTTTCCTTTATTCTTTCAAAATTTTCAAGTGTGTTACATTGAGAATCCCTAAAAAATTTAGCATTGTAAATTTTTTATATAATTAAATCAAATGTGTATATTAAAATTTAAAACTAGTAGTATTATATATTTTGGACCTATAATTTTTAAACTTTAATGATTCATATTACGAACTAAAAGTCAAATCGATCAAATTTATATTAGAGATACATTTTTTCGTAATCGTGCACCCATCTAGCCGAAATCCTGGATACGCCTCTGGTTCTAGCTAGTCTGAGAAATGATCCTAGTTAATTTATCCGTACTTTACGCGATCGCTAAATATTCTGATGTTGATTATAATATAATTTTTGATGCATCATAAACGAAATACTTTTTAAGATTTGAATATTAAATAAATCTACACTACAAATTTTTTGTAATTTTAATAGGTAGATATCAACGTCATTCTTCTTTTAACTCAAATATAAATTCATGTGTGTTTAAATATTTGTCGAGTTTTGACCCACTCTTAAATAAAATCAAAACCCACACTTTCTCACTTTTACAACACGACATATATAACTAAACAAATTTATTGAAATTCCTCGTAAGGTGAGAACATATAGTAATCTACAAATCACTTTATCTCAAAAAAATCTTTTATCGCTTGTTATTCAACTTTTGGTAAAAGTTTTGAGTTTTTTTTAATGAATTATAATATAATATTTATTATAAGAGATCGGAGAAAAAAGTAAATTACTATATTTCAAAAATATTAGTACACTGTTACAAATATAGAAAAATAAAAAGAATAATAAGGCTAACTTGTTACTTAACCTCATAAATATATGAATGTATTCACCAAATCGTTATCGTACGTGATAGTACGTGATAGTTGTGCAATTTGTTTTCTTTTCAAGATGATTATTTAAAATAATGTTCATGTATCTAAGGAATTTGATTTCTTTTACGCTCTAATTTAGTTTTTCATGTTTAATATGAGAATCCGAATGAGTCATTTAATGTTAAACTTTTAAGAATTGCCTATGAATATACTTACAATTACAGTTAGAAAATTTTAAGAAAAATATTTTTTTTAGACTGATGAAATGATATATTGCTCACTTTAGCGAGATTCAAATTCATTACGATAGAATCTTCCTCGGTTCAACATTGTTAATGGTCTGTTTAATCCTTACTCCATAATTGAATTGCAATGTTAGTTGATATTTGTATGAGTCTCATATTTTGATTAAATTTTCGATGGTAAAAGATTGTTGATTTTTTTTTAACGGCCTCCAATGATCATTGATATGAAAGAGTTACATTTTGAAGTTTAACACACCAAACTCAATACAAGATCTTTGGGTAGAAATAAAGTTAGATAAACTCTACAAGTTAACACCAAAAAAGGGGGAGTCTAAGCTGCTATTACTCTACTAACTTGACTCCTTGACAAAGAGGATTCATGGGGGTTCGTAAATAAAATTAGAAGGTTTGACCTGCTGCATTCTGAAGGAAGGGAGCTCCCATCTATCTGTGTTAATTAATCCCCTAACTTCCCTCAGATCTTCTTCTTCGACACAACCTTTACTTGTATAATCTACACTCAGATCTGTCTTTTTCTTTTCTTTTCAATCACTCAAGTGTGTACAAAGTTTTATGAAAGATAAAAGAATATTACAATATAAGTTCAAGTGAAGTGCGTACTTCACAACTATGATTACGAGATGTTTATATAGCTTTGGAGGACTTTGCTCTTTTACGGAAACCCAAGGGATTTTGAATCAAAGATCTTTGATTAAGTCCTTGATTTTATTCTGATTGATTTGCTGAGTCATGTCCATATCAGATATGTGCATGAGCAAATCGATTTATTCCTTTGTATGATGATCTTCTTGTGGTCTTGAATCTTTGGCTGATCTCGTTAACTTGAATGCATCCCTTGATTTCAATTTCTTCCTTGTAGTCTTGGATGTTAACTGATCTTGTTGCCTTGAAAGTATCCTTTGATTGATGCACATTATCTCTTTCCTTCCTTAGGCGATTTGTTCTGCAGTCTTGAATATATTCTGCAATCTTGAATATATTTGATTGATTTCTGAAATCTCTGATTGATCATGATTTGCTTGATTGATTCTGGAATCTGATTGATTCTAGAGATCAAGATATATCTTTATTGCAATAGTAAATGCAATATTTGTTTTCCTTTTGTGTCTCGTACAACACATGACTTTCCCTCTTGATGTAGTGTGTTTTGACTTCTTTCCTTTTTGATTTCTTTGCCTTGATTGATGATTTTGGTTATCTTGAATATATTCTGCATCCCTTGATTGATGAACATATTTTCTCCTTCTTTAGGTGTTATATTCTTGGTTCATCTTTTTCCTTCTTTGCCTGCAACAACTCATAAGTTGGTTGAGTGTTTCATTATTAAAATTATCCAATTATGTGAGGCTAACAGTTTATGCCATTATATGTGTCAAAGAGAAGGTCAAATTCCTTAATTTACAATATATAGCTGAGCTACTAATTTGTAATTGTTCTTTATTGATTACTGATAAAATTATTAGTTATCAAAATTATATAATTTACCTTTAAAATTGAGGAAGTTAAGTATCATAATCTTTGCTTTGTCCTGTTCCTGGTTTGCCTGAAGACCTTCCCTAACCCCTTCAAAGAGCACATGTTTATTTGAATATAAGTAGCAATTTCTCTGTCAATTATGTGACATTTTTTTAAAAATTTGTCTCAAAAGAGAATATTATTTTTCTATATTAAAAATAATTTAATTTTATGAGTTGATTTATATTCATACAAATATCTAAGGTTATTTTAAACCATAAAATTTCAAAAAATTCCTTTTTGTCTTTTCTTAAGAATTCTCATACCTAATTAAATGGTGTCACATAAATTAAGATGGAGAAAATAATAATTTAAAATAGTCCTTTTTTCTCTACTAGTTCTCTACTTCCTTTAAAGCGTAAATATCTATATTTTTCTTTGCACATGCATCAAATATTTGGTATAAGTCATGATCAACTTTTTCATACAATTAGATACTATGGTGCAGTGGTGAGCACGCTATCTAGACTTTAATAAAAAAGTATATGTAGTTGAGTCGAAGACTTATCTTTTTTAAAATAATAATAATTAATTGAATGGTTTATTTATAAATGTTAATAGGTGTGTGTTATATCATTTACAAGTACTCTATTTTTTTATAACGAGATATTAAAAAAGAGAAAATTATCTATAGATGAATAAGATATTATGAGATAATTGACTATTAAATTACTAGAAATAATTGTGACAAAAGCTAAAACACAAATAATTGCAAAAAAAGGTCCATTAATGTCAGTACACATATATTCCATTTTGTTCAACATATTATATTTTGGAGAACCGATGACCATCTTCGCGTATTAAAACAAGAATGTCCCAATCAAGTCATCGAGTGACATAAAACAGCATATCCGGAATTGGGATCTCTCTCGCAATAGATGGCCGTCTCCTGTCCCCCTTCCAGTGGGGAACCCGCTCCCCGGTCGTCGCTCTGCTGCGTCTGGCCCGTCCTCTAGGTACCTTTGGAGTTGTCCAGTCCTAAACAAGATAGGAAACCCCTTAGGCTTCTTCAGAAAAGGAACATCAAACGTGAATTACACATCTCATCATCTATCTAGATTTTTAAACAATTGAAATTCATGACATATTTTTTTTATAATATTACAAGAACCATTGAAATTTACTGCGATAGCTTAGCTACGAATTTGTAATTGTTCTTTACGGATTACCAATAATATTATTAGTTATCAAAATAATATATTTTATCTTAAATATTGAGGAAGTTAAGTATCATAATCTTTGCTCGAATATTGGTCCATCTTTCATGTTGTGGTTATTATTGTTTGATTCTTTGCCCTCATACAAAATTCAAACCAAAATTTTAAAAAATATTGAATTTCAATTTTACCCAAACTATGCCTAGCTATACATACCTAAGAAGCTTCATTTTTTTTAGCAACAATGCTATAAATTAGCTAGGAAGGCCTACTTATTGTTGAATTAATAAACAATTTGCATTAAAGATTTGTTATTTTGTTATCACATGGGAAAAGTACTTACCTTCACACAACCTAAAAGGTTGTATTATTTCAAATTCTTTATAAATAGATTCAATTGCATGCATAGAATTAAGCATAATAAATATTAAAAATAATCTGTTCTTCCAAGAAAATATGGGTTCTGAAAACATTAAGCTTCCCAAAATAGACTTTTCTCATGAAGATCTAAAGCCAGACACACTTGTATGGAACCAAGTGAAAAGCCAAGTTCACAAAGCATTAGTAGAATATGGTTGTTTTGAAGCTTCTTTTGATAAAATTTCGATACATCTTAGAAAATCCATTTTTGAATTCTCACAAGAGATTTTTGATCTCCCTTTAGAAACAAAACTTAGAAACATATCAACCGAAGCCTTCCATGGCTACGTTGGAAACTACCATCCTTTAATTCAACTCTTTGAAAGCATGGGCATTGATGATGCTAACATTTTTCATGAAGTTGAAAAATTCACTCAAATTCTATGGCCCCAAGGAAACCCTTCTTTTTGGTAAAACATTTATCTTCTCCATATATTAATTCTTATTATTATAACATGCCATGTTGCTTTTACTATTATGATTTTAATTCTTATATATATTGTCAGCAAAACTATCCAGTCATATTCAGAGCAACTAGCAGAGTTAGACCAAACAATAAGAAGGATGATTATGGAGAGTTTAGGCGTGGAAAAGTACATGGATGAGCATATGAATTCGACCAACTATTTCAAGATCAAGTAAATGGTCTTCAAGTTTTAACCAAAGATGGACAGTGGAAAAATCTTGATCCTACACCAAACACTTTTACTGTCATCGTTGGAGATTCTCTACATGTAAGCTCTTCCAACAGTACTATGAATGACCTGTTTAGCTCTGCTTTTGTTTTCTTCTTTATAAAATTAAAAAAAGATCGTTGAGCACCCAATATATATAGTATAATTTGCTCCGCCACTAAATTAAAAAAAAAGAAGATAAATTATAATATCAACTTATTTTAACCAGCTATGACATATGACATGCCTTGTTCTTTAGGCTATTGATCTCATTTTCTTATGGGCGTCATCTATAGCTAATTTTCAGATGACTTGATTTGTGCAAAAAAAATTTATATTGTGAATATATAGAATTTCAAATATATTTAGCTTTTTCTATCTTTCAATTTTTGAATCTGAAGGATTGTCTTTGTACGTAGGCATGGACAAATGGTCGGATGCATGCACCATATCATAGGGTGATGATGAGAGGAAAGGAGACAAGGTACTCAGTTGGTTTGTTTTCAACACCTAAAGCTGGATACATAATAAAGGCACCAGAAGAGCTGGTAGATGAAGAGCATCCTTTACTATATAAGCCCTATAATCATGGTGAATTCCATGCTTTTAGCTACAGTGAAAAAGGCATGAAATGTGAATCTGCTTTGAAGACCTATTGTGGTGTCTGAATTTAATTTAATAAATTATGTTTACTAGTAAAATAAATATGTATACTTCTTTGAGTATATACTTGTGTTTTATGTACTGATATGAAAAATAATACTAGTTAATTTGCCCGCCCTTTGCATGATTGTGAAATATTGTTACATTGATTACGATATAAATTTTGTTGCATCATTTATTAAATACTTTTTAAGAACTAAATATTTAATAAATTGACGATACAAAACTTTTGTAATTTTAATAGGTAGATAATAGACATCAACATCATTCTTCCTTTCTACCAAATATAAAGTCACGCGTATTTCAATATTTACTGAATTTTGATTGATACCCACTTTATTGCTTATCAAAATGAATAATTTAGTGTTAACTTTTAAGTATTGCCGATCAAAATACTCAATTACAATTTGAAAATATAAAAAGATAATAATTTTCGATGGAAAAGATTGTTTTCTTGTCTCATATATATGTGTGTTAAAGAGTAGGTCAAATTTCTTGATCGTTGAGACAAACTGATTTACAATTGGAATTTACTATAATAACTGAGCAACAAATTAAATTTGTAATATATTGTTCTTTATTGATTACTAAAATAAAATTATTAGTTACCAAATTAATATATTTTATCTTAAAAATTGAGGAAGTTAATAAGTATCATAATATTTCATGTTGTGGTGATTATTGTTTGATTTTTTGCCCTTATCCTATTTTGCCTAAAGATCTTATCTCTAACCCATTCAAAAAGCACATGTTTATTTGAATATAGGTAGTATTTTCTGTCATTTACGTGACACGGAAGATTTACATCTATACAACTATATAAGTATCTAAAATTATTTTGGAACATAAATTTCATAAGTCTCCATTTTAAAAAAAAATAAGTTTGTAATTAATTAAATGATGTCTCGTCAATTAAAACTTCAGGAGTAACAATTTAGCTGGTCCTTTTTTCTATACTAGTCATCTACTTCCTTCAATGCGTAGAGGTCTATTTTTCTTTGCACATCAAATATTTTTTAGGCTTCATTTGTTTTCATTAAGATTATGGCATCTGAATTTGAATGCACATCTGAATGATTAACATTTTGTCTCTAGATTTAAACACTGAATGATTAAGACTGTTTGTTATTAAACATCTGAATATAAGTATATATGTAATTTTTATTAATATGTAAACACAACAAATATTATAATTCAAATAAAATAGTAGTTAAAGATTATATTAACAAGATATTAGAAAAAAAACACAGTCTTTGATAAACGTTAAGATATTTAAATTATAAACTAATATTTTAACTTTGATAAAAAATAAAATGGAACTACATAGACTATATATATAAATTATAATAATAAAAGTAATTGTTAGAAAACAATATAGTCACCTTTTTTTTTGGCTTAACACATAAGCGGCTCCTTGAACTTGTCCCTTTTTTCCATTTAGTTACTTAAATTATAAGGTTTACCTATTGAACACTTGAACTCAAGCCATTGTGTGCCTATTGAACACAATTTTTGCAGCAAGCCCAAATATTTTGTGCGTGACTTTCAAACGCTGCTTATGTGGCCTTATTACAAATAAGAAAATGACACATCGGAAAAAAAAGCTCTCCTGGGACTCTTTCACAAACAGCTCACTCCGACCGCCATTGTAACACCACCACCAACAAACAATTCCATTTCTTATCAAACAACTGCCCTCGTTGCAGTCCATCTTTGTTGTTCTAGTAAAATTTATTTCGGATTCTTTTGTACATTTTTTATTGTTGTTTTACCCTTAATTTCTGGCAAAATTTTACAACAAATCTTGATAAAATAGGATAAACTTGTTCAACTTTCAATGATTCATACCCAATAAAAATCTTGAAATGATTTATGAATAGATGTGTTGATGCATGTGGAAATGGGTTATGTGAAAGAAATGACTTTTTTGTGAGAGAGAAAAAAGAAGGCGATGGAGAGAAGACGACAGCCGCTTTTGGTTTAAATTTCGTCGGCTAGATGTAAATTTTAGGGAGAATTGTGAGGTGATATTGGCGGCACATAATGTTGGTAATGGCTATGGGTGTAACGACGGTGACTCCCACCAATGAATCTCTTCCTTCCATCAATTTGATGAAATAATTGAATGAAGGGATCAAAAGTTTGATAAAGCTAATTAGTTCATTCGTTCATGGTGGTTGACGACTCGCATTTCTTCCTAGATTATTCATTGCAATTTTGACAAAAAATAAGTTTATTCTTGGGAGTGGTCGGTGATGGTGGTGAAAAAGGGGAAAATAGTGTTGCAAATTGAGATTGGAGGAGACAAAAGTAAAAAATAAATAAATTAGGGCGTTCCACTCTCTCAAAGGAGAGTGTACTACACATGTTATGCCATGTCAGCACAGTGTGTCCAATAGACACATTATAGTTTGAGTTAGAGTGTTCAATCGGTAAACCTTAGAATCTAAGTATCTAAATGAAAAATATGAACAAGTTTAAGGGGACGCTTATGCATTCAGCCTTTTTTTTTTAATTCAAAAACACATATTTGTGAAGTTTGCACTTTAATCAAAATAAAAATTTTACAATATCAATTATTGATAAACAAGCCGCAAAAATAAAAATGAAAAGTATAAAGAAAATAATTTGGATAATTAATAAAGTTGGAGAATAAGAGAGGCTTGAATATACCGTCAGAATCTGACTAACAGATGCATCTCATTATTTTGCACTATTCATTAGCATGAGGTTGTATAGTGATTTAGGGTGTGTTTGGTATGATAGAAATGCTTTAGTAGAAAATGTTTTCCTGAAAAACAAGTAGATTTTTTACTTATTTTTTCATGTTTGGTTGGTGAGTAGAACATATTTTTCGAAAAAGATTTTTTAGGGGGTGGCGGGGGGAGGGGGTGGCTGGGCGGAGGGTCTGGCTAGGAGTGGTGTGGGGTGAAAAATAAAAATTTGAAATTGAAAATATATATTTTTTAAAAAAACTTTAAATTATTATTTTTTTTGGGAGGGGGGGGGGGTGAAAATAAAAATTTGAAATTGGAAATAGTGGGAGGGGGGTTAAAAAATAAAAAAATTGAAGTTGAAAAATATTTTTGAAAATAAGCTTTAAATTTATTTTTCAACAAAAAAATTGATTTTTCAACATAAAAATTGTAATTTGAAGTTGGAGAACAGTTTTTGAAAATGTTTTCCTTAATTTTTTAATTTTTGAAGGGAAGTTATTTTCCTTAAATTTGAGGAAAATGAGTTGATTTGGAAAATATTTTACCCAACCAATCATGAGAAAAAATTGAAAAGCATTTTTCAAAAAATGTTTCCTTCATACCAACACACCCTTAAGGGAACTTTCATAAATCTCACTCGTTTCGGAGCTAATTATTTGTGAAGGACCCAATGTCATAATTCTTCGAGTGACAACAACAATATACAGTCAGATGCATCTCATTAGTTTGCACTATTCATTAGTCTAATTGGCTATATTGAACTTAGTATTAGGTATATGGGCTTATGCATAATCGTTAAAATTAGATATAAGGTATAAGACTTCTCTAGATTTTAAGATAGTTAAAATTCCAAAATTCAATTTGTAGTTTAAAATTCAAACCGAAAAATAAAAAAATATTGTAATTCAATTTTGTCCAAACTATGCCTAGTAGCTATACCTTAGAAGCTTAATTTGTTTAGCAACGTTGTTATAAATTAGGTAGGGCTACTTATCGTTGAATTAATGAACAACTTGTATTTTAGATAGCCGATGAATTACACATTTCATCATTCATCTAGATATTTTAATCAATTGAAATTCACAATATTTTTGGATAATATTGAAAGAACTTTTTTTCTTTTTCTTTTACGTTTAAAAAGACTAATAGAGATAAAGAACAAAATTTTTTATCTTTTTAATTTAATTCTTTAAAAGAGCAGTAGGATTTTCAACAATTGAATAATGTGCTGTCATTATAAATATAGTATTTAATTTGTAGAGATTAATTAGCTATAGAATCAGAGTAGAGTGATGAATCATTCAAGAAGATCTACTTTAGCCTACTCAATCTTTTTATATCCATACAATCCCACCTGAAATAGAATTACGCGTTCATGTCGTTCAAATTAAACATGAAAAAATTCGATTGAGATTTTTTAAATTTATGAAACTAAAATCCAAATGCAATTCAAATGAATTTTGATTCGTTCAGTATTCTTAAGTTCGATTTTGAATATAATCTATTTGATTATTTCGAATTCTAAGTTTTGAGCCTATAAGTTGAATTTGTTTTTCTTACGAAAATGAACATAAAAATAAAGTATTCATGTCAAATTGCTTTAATAATTTCTTATTCTAACCACAATCCATAAAAACTCGATCTAAACATCAATTAATATACTTCCTTAAGGACCCAATAAAAACTCGATCTAAACATCAATTCATGTCAAATTGCTTTAATCCTTAAGTACTTGCCCTCATGGAAAGTCATTTAACTATGAGCAGTTTTTTAACCCAAAATTATTCAACTATGTCATTTAACTATGAGCAGTTTTTTAACCCAAAATTATTCAACTATGTCTGTCTAGTTATTTTTGTGAAATATCAATAGTTGAGTAACCTTTTATGATAACTATTTATAGTTGAGTGACTTTTGAGAAAGTTATTCATAGTTAAGTGGATTTTGAGTAATAAAACAAAGTTTAGTGACTTTCTGAGAGAACTACTAACTTTCTGAGAAAGTTATTCATAGTTGAGTGACTTTTGAGAAAGTTATTCATAGTTAAGTGAATTTTGAGTTATAAAACAAAGTTTAGTGACTTTCTGAGAGAACTACTAACTTTCTGAGAAAGTTATTCATAGTTGAATGATCATTTAAAATATTATCTCCAACATTTTAGGTTGTGTTATTCCAAATCCTATATAAATAGGTTAAACTTCATGCATATAATTAAGCATAACAAACATATAACAAAAATCTCTTCTTACAGGAAATATGAATTCTGAAAACATCAAGCTTCCTAAAATAGACTTTTCTCAGGAAGACCTAAAGACAGACACACTTGTATGGAATCAAGTGAAAAGCCAAGTCCACAAAGCATTAGTAGAATATGGTTGTTTTGAAGCTTCCTTCG